ACTTTGTACAACCATTAGTTCTTCTGACAGATTCTTGTTTAATCCTAGCTAACAGAATCAGGAAACATGCTTTTCTCTAGTAAGAGATTGAAGTTCTTTTGAATGACAGCTTGACTCAAAGATAGGCAGAAAGACAAGAAAGAAGAGGCTTGGATCAACTCCAAGTTGAATAATACCAATTACCAGTCTAAGATTATATTGAATATAATATTCAGGAAATCATGGGACTCTAGCTGAGTCCGTCTGTGGAAAGGACAAGCTTAAGGGAAGTCTGAAAGGGATATTTACTTAGGAATAATTGGGTGGGAGTGCTCTCAGATGTTGTTTTGATGAGCTATATTAGTAGACAAGAGGGATAAAAGGAATGTGTCAGAAGCTTTGCAGTCGTCAGGATAAATTCTGTTGGAAGAATAAAGCAGTATCAGGACTGTTGCTGCCTTTGAAATTCAACACAAAAATAGGATGTGCAGGCTCTCAAATTGCAGCTTTCATGCAGTAGTAATGAAACAGTATAATCACTGAGTAATTCTGCCACCTCTTACAGCTTTCACAGGTTGGTATATATTATAAAGGAACAATCCAAAAATCTAAATGGTATCTTGAGGTTTGGTCTATCTTATGTTATCTGCTAGATATTGAGACCTGCAAGAGAGTCAGAAAAAGAATATGGTGTTAGAGGGCAGTGTATTTAGCTACTACGTTCATGATGATAAAGATGACAAGTATATTTGACAACAGTAAGCTTGCAATTGCTTTTGCTGATAGTGATTTATTTGCTGTGTATTGATAAGGTGTTTGTGGTAATTTTTCTTCTTTGGGTCTGGCTAAGATTAAAGATAAAGCAGATCCTAACTGAAGCCTTCTTGACTAAATATAGTTATTCTAGGAAGAAGGAGGCGGAACATCCTTTGCGACTTACCCGAACACTGCTGCACACATTTGTTTGTAACCTACCTGGTTTACCCATTTTCCTACAGTACAGGACTGTCTTGAATTTAACATTGAAATTTAAAGACTACTTACATATTTAGAACAGGAGCCTATCTAACAGTTGTCAACTTGACACACCTGAGAAGCAGGGACCTTCAGTTGGGGAATTGCCCCAGCTGCTTAGTCTGTGGTCATGCTAGCTCTAGGTGGGCCTGGGCTATGAAAGAGAGGTAGCTGAGCAAGCCAGTGGAAGGAAGCTAGAGAGCAGTGTGCATTTTTGGTCTCTTTCTGTTTCTGGTTCTTGATTCTGTTCCTGCCGTTACTTAATGATGAGCTGTGGTCTTTACCTTCAAGAAAGATTTTCTTTTCAAAAGATCAAGGCAAAAACTCACAGAAAACCACAATCAAAATACAGAGTTGTGGATCATAGTCTCTATGGCTACTTCCACAGGAAGTCCCACAGCTGAGGCTCAGGGAACATTTCGGAAGAGGGGGCAGAAAGGTTGTAAGAGCTGTTGGAGTAGGGAGTGTGATGTGAGACTGTGCCTCCCAGTAACACCAGAAGATATACTCATCAACATGACTATCCAGATGTGAGCTGAACAGGGAGACACTGATGAACTTGCCAAACTGGACAGGGAAAAGCCCATAAAGAAAAGTCATGGGTGGAGAACTCTAGGCAACTGAGGAAAGCTGGGAGTGGGAGAGGTGCTCTGAATACCAATTGGTTGTCCAGGGCCATATAGTCAGACCTGAAAACATACATGTCAGCAACATACATTATACAGACTCAACAGGTTAAATATGCAAATACATGTATGAATGCAATAGCAGTTAGTGAGAAAAAAGGCCATCGATTTGAAAGAGAGAAAGGAGAGGTTGACGGGAGCATTTGTAGGGAGGAAAGGGAAGGGAGAAGTTATGTAGTTATAATCTTAGAAAAAAAAGAGCTGCTTACTCTTGACGCTACTAAGGGTTATTTGGTGCTTGGTTGATTAACTTGGTCATAAAAAGTTTATTCTCTAGCTTAGATGTTGGAAATCTACAACCTGTGAGTCAAATCTTTGGTGTGTGCGTGCTGGCCAGGTTTTATTGGAGCTCAGCTATGCTAACTCACTTACGTGTTATTGCAGCAGCCACTGATGCTCCAGCAGGAACACTGCGTGGCTGCTGTAGACACCGTGTCATCTATGAGGATTAAAATAGTTATGAGGTGAATCTTTGAGGAAGGATAATTTCAAGAAATAAGGGAAATAAATATTAGTCAATATCATCCTTTAAACATTTTTAAAAAAATGTACTTTGAATTGAAATAGAATTACATTACTTTTCATCCTCTCTCCCTCTAGCCCCTCTCAGCTTCCCTCCCACAAATCCCTCCCATGTCCTTTTCCAAGTTGATAGTCTTAATCTGTGATTATTATTGATACATATATATATGTATATATGTATATATATATGTATGATGTATATATGTATGTGTATATATATATATATATACACATGTATGTATATGCACAAATATGCATAGCCACAACTTGCTGAAAAGATGTGTTCACTGTTTAACTTTTTGTAATTAGATTGTGTTAAGAGTCTGTGGAGACTAATAAGGCTTGGCGTGTGTTAATTTTGCTTTGTCATAAGAAAGAAACCATAAAACACTAAGGACAAAACATGGGTATTACAAGTTTAGTCTCCCTTCCTTCTTACCATAGTAGGGACAATACCAGCATGGCTTTGCTGCAAGGAGTAAGAAGTGTAAGTTCTAGCTTTTGTATTCATGTTGTCTCCTCTTGTTTTGTGTGGCATTCGCCATCATGTCAGGTATGTAAAGGGTATACTAACCATAGCAGGAGTAAGAAAGGTAAAATCTATCCTAACCACAAAAGGTGTGAGGGCAAGTCTCGATTTGTTTCTTGGACTCTAGTACTAAGGGAGGCCTGTTTTTTTTTTGTTTTTTTTTTTTTTTTTTTTTTTTTTTTTAGAAGAAATGTGGATCCCCACATTTTGAAGGAAACTTGAAAATCTAGGGATGATGAGATTGGTGCACCGTCTTAAGAGATGACACTTGGTTCTTGTCAGGTCCAAATTCTGGCAGTTAGATAAAAGCCAGCATTCCTCAGGAATTTGTGAAGCCTGTTCCCCTCCATGGAAGGAGCTAGTTCTCACTGGCAGAAGTGACAAACAGCTCTCTGTGAAGCACGTGCTGGCCTCCAGGCTTCCTCAGTATCACAAGCACCTGTTCCACATGTCAGAGTCCCTGCTGGCATCCTGGTTCTTCTCATATAGTGCCTTACCTTAAACTTGATCTCCTCATGGGCTTCTCCCCCCCCTTCTCATTGTCCTTATATCCCTGCTATCTCTTTCTATCCCCTCTGTTCCCCACCCTTTCTATCCTCTGTTCCCCATCCTTTCCTTTCATGGCTAAGTCCAATCTGCTAGCCTTGTTCAATCTCTCCCTTCTCTGTCTGCTCTGGGCTGTTCCAGAAGCCTGGGTGCTTCTCTCTCTCTCTTATCCCCAATAAAATTTCCTGCTTTCCATACCTTGGAGTGTCCATGTCCTATATAGTTTATGTTTTATTTTGTTTGTAAAGTTTTGTTTTACCAGAACACGAATTTCAAAGGCTGAGTTATTTTACTCGACAGGATTTAGATCACTTTGAAACTTAGCATCTTATTCCTTCAAGTTACTGTAAAACTAACTGTAAAACTAGATAAGAGAAGGAAAAATAACCTTACATTTTTAAAATTGAGATTTGTTATTTTGTACTACGTTTTTTAGCCCTTGAAGTTGTCACAGAAACAGTTCTACAGTGACATAATACTAGAAAAAGCTTAGCTCTTCATGTGAACAGCCCCACTTGAAATAATTTTATTCACAGTAAATTTAATTCTCTTGTAGTCTCACTAAGTTCTCCTGTTTGTTAAATATAGCAGATTTTTCTCAGGAATGTACTCCTTTTTATAGCTGCTACTTCAAGGCATTAAAACTAAGTTTTATATGTAGTTGTTTGTTCTATCAAAAGCAAAATATACTTTTTTGCTTTCTTATTTAATTATTTCTTATTTTAATTAGTCTAGGATTTCAGTACAGACAGACATCAGTCTCCTCTCTTCACACCCAGGAGACCAAGTCACAGAGGGACACTAAGTAGCTTGCTTAGGGCTGCACATTGAGTCAGTTTATGCTGAGTTTACCTTGTTTTGTATATTTATAGAACCAGATGATAAGGGTTGGAGAGTAATTAACGTCTGGAAACAGGTATCATGGAAGATGTAGGGTTGTTTCACTTGCTTCAATTTCTTGTTATTGAGAGGTTCTGAGTGTTTTCTTACTAGGACTTGGGGATAGTGGGAGAAGAAGTGTAAGACCTTGTGAGGCTTACTCAGAGATGGGAAAACGCAACAAAGATAGATTTAGAGGTAGAGGGGACGTATTTACAAGCAACAAATTTGGTTTTCATTCCTTGACTAAGTTGCTGACTAGCTTGCACCTGGCAGAGACCCAAAAGGCTTCTCGGCCCTTCTCAGTTGAACCAGCCATCAAAGTAAACAGTAGTTAGCTCTTTCTGACTGACTCTCCAGAAGGCCTTCTGTATTCAGCTGTGGTTTGTACGGAAGGGGTGGCCTGGATTATCTCTGCCAGTAACCTTGTTGCCACCTCTGGCTCTTGCCAGATACCAACAGAATTCTTACTTCCTAAAATAGTATTTTGTTTCCATGATTTTTTTTTTTCATTTTGTAATTTAGGGCCTTTCAGAAGTCAATGTTCCATCATCTTGGGGGTTTGTTAGGCATTTATTAATCATTCCAATATTGTTTGCATCTTACTTGTTAGTTCTTAGAGATCATGCTTATATCAAGAGTCTTAGTTTTCTTGAGACTGTACAGGAGACCTGAACAAATCAGTTTTCTAAATATAGCACTTCTGGGAAAATCTATACTTCCTGTTGCTTAGGTTATGATTTTTGAATACTTGACGTTTTCTTTTTAAAAGGCTTATTGCCGTGTAGTCTCTTTTGTCGCATGCACACATGAATAACCTTATGGTGAATTTGGTTCTCTTGCAGTCTAAAGCGGTTGGCTTGCTAGATGTGGATGTGTATGGTCCTTCCATTCCAAAGATGATGAACTTGAAAGGAAATCCAGAATTATCACCAGGTGAGTATGGAGGGATGCATGGTACCCACTCTTCACTTGCCGGGAACTGTGTGTGCTCTGCATGTCATGTAGAGAAGCATTCAGAGGTCATGTGGCATCATGTTCACTCTCAGTTCTTCATAGATCTGATCAATTGTGTAGTTCCTTTGCAACTTACAGGAAAGTTGGCCCCTATTCATGCAAAAAGGTCACAGCTGCTGTGAGCAGTAATGTAAATGCAGCAGAATTTAGCACAATTCATGGCACCAGTACATGATTAAATTAAGTATCCATTGTTTATGTTAAGTATTACTTATATAAGAATATTTGAATAGAAATATATTTGTAGTAAATGAAATTTCTATTTTACAAACAGATTTTTGTCAGATTTTTTCTTAGAGCATTTGTAAACACCCAAAACCAATGGTTTGCTGCTCCATAGTTTTATTGCCATCCCTACAGGAAGAGGTAGGTTTTTTAATAAATCTTTAGTATTTTCACTGTTCTTGTTACTGTGTATTTGATACACTACCAAATATAAAGTCTTCAGTATAGTTTTATGTAGTCATAAAAATGGTAAAAACTCGTTATTAAAAATGGATTTATGTTAAAATATTCTAAATAAAATTAATTTCTAGCTGTGATGAATATAAAATTGAATAATTTTGTTTTTTATAGGTATATTTTTATCTGTCTAGAACAAAATATATGTACGGATCTATTTATTAGATTATTTAGATTATAGTATTATAGTTATTGGATTATTTAGGTTATAGTATTATTTTTATTGTAATTAAGAATTATTTAAACTTTGTTTGCTCGTTAAGGTGGGTATGTATGTGATTTATGTTCGGGCATCAATTGTGCTGACGTCTGGGTTATTCTTTCTCAACAGTTGACTCCAGGGGTCTTAGAAGGCCAGCAGCCCCTCATGTGGTTGTTTCCTCTTCTCCTGAAAGGTCAGGGAAAAGGCTTTTGCTTCTGGTGCAGCAGTCTGCAAGCATGCGACATGAACAACGATGTTAGTGTGTAGGCTCTTTGCTTTTTCTCTTGTTGTTGAGGTCCAGCTTTCATCCATGGTGGCTGATAGTATACAAGGGATTGTTTCAATCTTCTTGTATATGTTGAGGCTTGCTTTGTGACCAACCATATGGTCTATTTTGGAGAATGTGTTGCTGAGAAGAAGGTAAATTCTTTTGTGTTTTGGTGAAATGTTCTGTAGATGTCTGTTAGGTCCAGTTGATTCATGACATCTGTTAGAGTCATTGTTTATTTGTTTAATTCCTGTTTTTTTTTGACCTGTCCTTTGTTGAGAGTGGGGTGTTGAAGTTTCTCACTATTAATATGTGGGGATCTATGTGTGGTTTATGTTTTATTAATGTTTCTTTTACAGATGTGGGTGCCCTTGTATTTGGGGCATAGATGTTCAGGATTGTGATGTCTTCCTGGTGGAATTTTCCTTTGATGAATAGGAAGTGACCTTTTCCATCTCTTTTAATTTTGGTTGAAAGTCTATTTTATTAGATATTAGAATGTCTACTCCTTCTAGTTTCTTGGATCCATTTGCTTGGAAAACTATCTTCCTGCCCTTTACTTTCAGGTAACATCTATCTTTGTGACTTAGGTGTGTTTCTTGTATGCAACCGAGTGTTGGGTCTTGTTTATGCATCCATTCTGTTAGTCTGTGTCTTTTTATTGGAGACTTGAGTCCATTGATGTTGAGGGAGATTAATGACCAGTGGCTGTTAGATCCTTTTATTTTGATGTTAGTTGTGGTAGTGTTTGTGTGCTTGGCTACTTTTAGTTTTCCTGTAGTGAGGTTATTTATTTCCTGTGTTTTCCTGAATGTATTAGCTTTCTTTGGTTGTATTTTTCCTTCTAGTATCTTCTATAATGCTGGATTTGTGTGTAGGTATTGTTGGAATTAGTTTTTGTCATTGAATATCTTGTTTTCCCCCATCTTTGATGACTGAGAGTTTTGCTGGGTATAGTAGCCTGGGCTGACATTTGTGTTCTCTTAGGGTCTGCACAATATTTATCCTGGCCCTTCTGGCTCTCTCATAGTCTCTGTTGATAAGTCAGGTGTGATTCTGATTTGCCATTTCCCTTGCAAGTTTTAGTACTTTTTCTTTGTTCTGTATACTTACTGTTTTGGTTATTATGTGGTACGAAGATTTTCTTTTCTGTTCTAATTTATTAGATGTTCTGTAGGCCTCTTGTATGCTTATATGCCTCTCCTTGGGGAAATTTTCTTCTATGATTTTGTTGAAAATAATTTTTGGGCCGTGGAGATGGGAATCTTTTTTTCCTCTATTCCTATTATTTTCTGGTTTTGTCTTTCCATATTGTCTTGGATTTCTTGGATGGTTTATGTCAGGAATTTTTTAGATCTGACATTGTCTTTGACAGATACATCAAGTTTTTCCATTGTATCTTCCACACCTGAGATTCTTCCTCCCATCTCTAGTAATCTGTTGGTTTTGCTTACCTCTGTAATTCCTTGAGTTCTTCTTCTTCTCCATGATTTCCTCTGTTGGTGTTTTCTTTAATTTTTTCCTATTCTATCTTCAGATCTTGAGCCATTTTTTAAATTTCCTTAACCTGTCTGTCTGTATTTTCCTTTAATTCCTTCACCTGTTTGTTTAAACATTTCCCTCTTTTATTTCTTTCAGTGATTTATTTCCTCTCTGAAGGCCACAAACTGTTTGGCTGCATCTTCCTGTATTTCTTTACGGATGGCCACAATCTGTTTGACTTTATCTTCCTCTATTTCTTTTCACATTTTATTTGTTTCCTCTATTATCCTCTTCATATGTATAGATGTAAGGTCATCTGAATGTAAGGTCCTGAATTTCACTTATGATATGGTGTCCAGGGCTACTTGCCCCTGGATAACTGGGTTTTGGAGATGCCATTTTGCTTTGGCTTTTGTTGGTTGTGTTTTTACACTGGTCTCTACCCATCTGGCTGTCTCAGGTATTTGCTGTTAATTTCTGGTGCCTGCTGGAATCCTGGGTTGGGGAAGAGTCCTCTTGGCAGGAAGATGGTTGTTCCTGAAGGAGGTCTCCCTAGCTTTTTTAATATGGTCACCAAATGGCCGGTGCGTCTCAGGAATTGCCACAGCTTACCTCACACAGGTGTGTGGACCAGTGTGGTAATTGTGATTGTTGGTAGTCAGGGCAACTCTCCTCTTACTAGGAGAAGTCCTGGGTATAGCTGCCCTGCCACTGGGTTTCCTGCTCTGAATTTAGTGAGCTGCTGCTGCTGCTCTTACCCTGTGTTTGCTGGGCACAGCCTTCTTAAAGAACCAGGGAGCCCTGCAGTTTGTTCAGTTTAGCTAGGGAAATAGGTTGTGCCTTGGAGCAGTGTCTGGGGGCTGATTCCATGGATCTCAGGCATTTGTAGGTCTGAGTTTGGAGTTCTGTGCCCCAATACCCAAGTGGTAATCAGTGGCAGGTGAGCACAGCATTCAGGTGTGTAGCAGGAGGCTAGAGTCTGGAGCCCGCGGGAACCCAGGGACTTTTCTGGGGAATAACTGGGTGTCCTGAGGTCGGACCTGATGTTTCCTTCACCATGGGATTTCCTCCCATCAGGGAAACCCAGTCTCTAGTGTCCTGGGGCCCGCAGTTCTGTCTGGGAAGGTGAGTCGGGCATGCAGACAGTTCTGGGCTGGCAGCTGAGAGCCTGCTGGACCCTGGGACCTTTTCCAGGGATTGTCTGGATGACCTGCGGTCGGTCCTGATTGCTTCCTTCACCGGGGGGTTTCTCTCTACTGGAAATATCAGTTGCTGGTGTTGTGGGGCCCACAGGTCAGTCTGGGATGGTGATCAGAGCACACAGGTGTACAGCTCTTGGCTGGCAACCAATCGCCTGCCAGGACCCAGGAGCTCTTCCAGGGTTTAGCTGGGTGACCTGAACCTGACTGCTTCCCACATGGTGGGGTTCCTCTCACCGGGGAAACACAATCGTTGGTGTTTTAGGGCCCAGAGTTTGTTCTGTTGGTCACTGTGCAGTCACTGCTGTCGTGCTTGTCTGACACAGTGTCCTCTTGGCGCCACCATCTTGCCTCCCTCCCCCATTAATGATTCTTAATTCTTGTTATGTTGTTGTTGATGGTGATCGTGGTATGTTTGTGTGTATGTGTATGTGTGTGTGTGTGTGCATGTGTGTGTGTTTCAGTCTTTTTGGTTTTGCTGGTGTGAGAGTATGTGAAACACGTAAGTCTTGTGTTTCCTGTGTGTAGCTAACCTCCTTGCTGTGGATTTTTTCTTTAGCATCTTCTGTAGGGCCAGATTTGTAGATACATATTGTTTAAGTTTGACTTTTTCATGGAATGTTGTATTTTCTCTGTCTGTGGTGATTGGAGGTTTTGCTGGGCATAGTGTCTAGGCTGGCATCTGTGGTCTTAGAGCCTGCAGCACATGTCCAAGCCCTTCTGGCTTTTAGAGTCTCCATTGAGAAGTCAGACGTAATTCTAATAGGTCTGCCTATTACTTGGCCTTTTTCTTTGCAGCTTTTAATATTCTTTCCTTGTTCTATATATTTAGTGTTTTGATTATTTTATGATAATAGGACTTTATTTTCTGTATGCTCCTTATACCTTATTTAGGTTATGATTTAGGCAGATCCTTATTTAGGTTAGGATTTTGTTTTGTTTTTATGATTTTGCCAAAAATATTTTCTTGTCGTTTGAGCTGGTATTCTTTTTCTTTCTTTCTTTCTTTTTTTTTTTTTTTTCTTTTATTTATAGGTTTGGCCTTTTCACAGTCTTTCGGATTTTCTGGATGCTTTGTGTCAGGAATTTTTTGGACTTAACATTTTCTGTGACTGATGTATCTATTTCTTCTATTGTATCTTCAAGGCCTGAGAGTCTCTTTTCTATCTCTTGTATTCTGTTGGTGAAGTTTTCCTCTGTAGTTCCTTTTCAATTTTCTAACTTTTTTCTTTCCAGAATTCCCTCAGTTTGTATTTCCTTTATTGCTTCTATGTTCATTTGAAAAGTTTTATTTGTTTTTTGTGGC